ATTATTTTAAAGGATAATTTTATGGTTATCCATTAAATAATCACAGTATATTATTGAAGGATGATTACCTATAGTGCTCCAGGTAAGGTAATGATGTGATTTGCCACGCTGTAAATGATCACTCAATAATTGTTTCAGTTAGAATTGGCTTCTGTTATGACAGAATATCCTCACAATCTGCTGTAAACAAAAGAGAGAAATTTACTTGTTGCACAAAGCTGAAATATCTATGAGTAGGGCTATTTATATGCATGTTCTGACCACGACCTAAATGATGTCATCTGGATTTGCCTCTCACCTCAGTTTTGCTTCTGTACAAAGGTTTTTAGCCTTAGAACCTAGGCTGTGGAGCCAGTCTGCCTGAGACAAAAATGGCTTTACTAGTTCCTAGTTGAGTAGCTTTGAAAACTTTATATAATCTTTCCATGTCTCAGTTTCATCATCTTTAAAATGAAAATAAAATGGTTTGTCTACTTTACATGGTAGTAGTAAAGATTAGTGAGTTAATGTATCTGAAGTACTTAGAATAATATATTTTAAATATTTAAAACATATAGGGAATGCTATATAAGTGATGGCTCCTTCAAATAATAACATTATTAATACTATAGTTTAGGAGCATTTCATCCAGACACCAGTATAATGGGAGAGGAAATCTGTACTCTATGGGTCAAACAAAAATCCTGGAATTTAGATTTGTCTTTCTTCCCTTCCTTCTACCTTCTTTACCTCCCTCTCTCCTTCCCTCACTTTTCTTACTTTTTTCCTTCCTTTGCCTCTTTCTTTCCTTTTCCCTTCACTCCCTAAATGATCCAAATTATATTTTTGTTTTTTACTTTTAGGTTACCTTCAAAATAAAAATATGAAATTGAAGCCTTCTCATAGTAAATTATCCTGATCAGTGTTGTCTAACAGAACATTCTGTAATATGGAAATGCATAATTTGTGTTGTCCAGTATGGTAGCACTAGTCACTTTTAGCTATTGAGCCCTTGATGGGTTGCTAGTGGCACTGAGAAAGTGAATTTTAATTTAATCAAATTTTAATGAATTTACATTTAAATAGCTACTTGTGGCTACTGGTAGCAACATCAATTAAGAGAATAGAGGCAAAGTGCCTAACATGCTCCATAGTAAGGACACAATAGATGTGGGAAGTGGAGGGATCTATACTTTCTGGCCTGAAAAGGGTGGAACCTTACTTAACTGACCAGAGCAACCGGTATATCCTAGGACAATGCTAATAAGCATGGCCATCAAGACCATTGACATAGCTTCAAATTTCTTCTGCCACTACATTCCACAATTTTATATTATAGACACATTAAATTTCACATATTTTCTTTGTACCTGCCTTCATTCTATAACAAGTGTCTTTTCCCACACACCCATGAAGTACTTCAGCTGATCTCTTATTGTCTTTTATGTTGTAATTCATAATCTTCTCTGAGGCTGTCCCTGAAGCCCTGGCAGTTATTCCCTTTCTTCTCTGTGCTTGCTGTATATTTTTTTGTCAGAGTCCATGCTTCAACTGATGCTATTTAGTTTTTTATCTCTTCCACTGGGTTAGGAACTAACTTCCTGCAGGTTTAACACGAAGTGGGCTTTTTATGAATGGTTAATTAGGTAGTTGGATGGATGGAAGAATGGTTCTCAACCCTGGTTACATTTACAATTTAAAAAATATTGTAAAATCAGGGCTGGGGATTTAGCTCAGTGGTTCTGGCGCCTGCCTTGCAAGCACAAGGTTCCGAGTTCGATCCCTGGTACCAAAAAAAAAAAAATTGCAAAATCAAAATTTTTAGATGTGAAATTTCACTGTGATTGTAATAAGAATATTTCTCTGATGACTAATAATGTTGAACATCCTTTCATGTGCTTATCAACTATTTTTTATAGCTTGTTCTTTGAAATGCCCATTAAAGTCTTTAAAAAAAATTTTAAATTAAAAAGATTAAGTATTTTAAAATCACTGTTACTGATATAGAACTTACACAAGACACACGTATTTTAAATATACAGTTTGATGAATTTTGATGGATGTTATCATTTGTGTAACTACAACCACATTCAAGATACAGAATATTTTCATTATCCCTAAATATTTGTACTCCTTCCCAGTCAATTCTGGCTCCATCCAATTATTAATCTGCTTTCTGTTGCTGTAGATTTGTTGTTTTAGGGTATCACACAAATAGATGCTGTTATGGCTTGTGTCAATGTTATGACTTGTGTCTAGATGTCCCCCCAAACCTCAAGCTGTCATAGGTGGGGCTTTTCAGAGGTGCCTGGATCTAGACTAAGTGATACTGGGATTAAGAGTGTGAGATTACTAAATTAGTCCACTGATTGGTTTGGCATAAGTCTAGGTGTGGATAATGGGAAGGCCCACCCTAGGTGTGAGTGCTACTTGCCCTAAGGGCATATAGCCTAGATAGAATATTAGGGACAGATAGAGGGCTGCTGTTTTTGCTTACTGCTGCTGCTTCTTGTCTTTTGCTGCCTCCTGCCTCCTCTGTGATGCCCCTCTGCCATGCCAGCCTGCCTTGGAGACAGCTGATTATGGACTGAAACCTCCACAAACTGTGAGACAAAATAACCTTTCCTCCTTTAACTTTAGGTATTGGATATTTTGTCCCAGCAATGAGAGAAGGAACTAAGACAGATCCATGTAACATGTACTTCTCTTTCCTACTTAGGATGTTATAAGCAAGAGAGATGTTAAACACACAAATACATGTGGTAAATGTTAAGGTCAACATGACCATAACAGTAAGTGCAAGCAGTGCTTGTCAATTTTGGAATAATGGTTTTACCTGTCTCTTTCCATAGTGTACAACTGGACTGTGGATGAGGTGGTACAGTGGCTGATTACGTATGTGGAGCTGCCACAGTATGAGGAGACCTTCCGGAAGCTGCAGCTCAGTGGCCATGCCATGCCAAGGTCAGGAGAAGATTTGGTTTTTCTCACTTAAGGGTGTGAGGAATGGATAGGGTGGCTCTCCCTTCAGGTTGCTCTGGTCAATTAAATGAGGCTTCATCCCTGTGATGACAGAGTCTATAGACAGATCTTCTCACATCTGTTGTGTGCTTGCTAAGCATGATGGGCCTTAGCATCCATTCTCATGTAACGTTCTTATTGATCCTGGGAATAGTATGACACCTGCCATTTATTGAGTGCTTAGTATAAGCCAGGCATTCTACTCAACACTTTATATACAGTATCTCATTTAATTCTTATATTAATTCTGTAAGGTAGGTATTATTGCATATAGATGATGAAACTGGTTAAGTAACTTTTCCAAGGTCACAAACATGGCTAGTTAGAGGCAAAAATGTGATTTGAATTTAGATCTGTGGTAGATCTAGATTCAAAGTCTGTGGTGTTTCTGTTTTCTTTTGCTGTCCCCCCACTAGCTGCTCTTTTATCACCCAGGAGCTTTGGGGCCCTTTTAGCCTCCCCTGGGTTATTGACACACAATTTATCTGCTCTAACAAAAATAGTGCAGAAGTAGGGCTGGCTGTCATTGTCCCTCTTATTTCTGGAATGAGTTCTCCAACAGCTGTTGTTTCTTAACTTTGCCTCTTTTATAGGCACAATATGCTAGGGTTTGGGCTGGGAGTGGGAAAGGATAGAGTACTGCTTGGACTTCTTTTTATATCAAAGTATTGTCATATGTCATTCAGTCATTAATTCATCTACTTATTCATTCAATGAATATTTACCAGGTACCTGCCAGGCTCTTGGGTGCTGGGGATAAAGTTGACAACAACCTGCCTTTGCCCTCAAAGGGCTTACTGTCTGGTAATTGCTGATTATAATCTGTCATCTTATTATGTAGGTATGTCTGGTTATGAGGTTCATCAAAGGGGAAAGGGGAAGGTGAAGCTGTTGGATTGCCCACTCATTGCAGTCTTCAGCCACAGAGCTACCAGGCACTGTTGTCCAGGCCTAGCTGAGTTGGCTGTTCTCTCCTCTGCTGCCGACAACCTCTTCACAGATTTTCCCTACTCTGGAGAGAGTAATAACCTTAATATTTGTACCTCCTTTGTAGAGTACTTTCCTACCTACTATTTCTTTTTATTTTCTTGAAAGTATTTTACTTCAGATTGAAAAATGAACAGTTTCCACACTGTTCATTGCAAGATACACAGTATTCATGAATACAATGCTGGTCATTTGAGGACATACTGTATATACACCTCAATTTCTCCTTCATGTTTTTTCTTTTAGAAAGATACTGTTTACCAAAAAGAAACTTCAGCAGTACAGGAAAAACTGTTTTCCCAATAAATTTACGAAAACCTAAGATTCCCAGTGGAATCAAGATTATCTTCCCTCTACCACCACCTTAATATAATCACATGCTTATCCTACCTATTATTTCAATTTTCACAATTCTGGGAGGAAGGAATTATTATTTCATCTTTTTTTCCCATTAAGTTTATTGGTACATTTTAGGTATAAAATACAGTTACATTCATAATTAGGATCTTGTACCCTTAAATGAGTATCTTGGTTCTTATTTTTTTCCCCTTCCCCT